GAACTGTGACAACCTCAGAGTTACTCAAGCCCAGTGTTAATCTTAGGAGAGAAGAAAATTAAAAGACTCTGTAGAGTGGAAATCTATTAGGATAATTTCCAGACTCACTTTAGGAGAATGACTACTAGAAGCAGCATAGTGTAGCAATGTGACAGGACCTGAACTCAGTCGGCATCAAAATCCTTTCGTGAAATCTTTGTTCTGTTTCCTGTCCATGGATCCATGGATAAGATGCTTAACTTTTCTATGCCTCTGTTTCCTTATTATAGGTAGAGAATAATGGTACTTCCCTCCCAGGGTTGTTCTGAGGATTGAAAGAGTTAATAAATGTACAGTTCTTAGAACTGTGCTCAGCAGACAGCAAGCACTCATTAAATGTCAGCCATGGTTACTTCTGGACAATCTATGAGCAGGCCCTGACCTTCGAAGGGGCCCACTCTTGGTTTAATGCCCTGCTTTTGCCATCTTAAAATTCTTAGTATTGATAATTTGTAAATAAGGACCCCACATTTCCATTTTGCACTGGACCCCACAAATTACATAGATGGTTCTGTCTACAAGATTGTTATGGCTGAAATCTCAAGTCTATATAGTATTGAAACTAAAATGACCAACCTGGGCATTATCTTATGGAGAAAGACCAGATTTTCTCTAAACAAAATTTGAGCTAAGGTAAATAGTCTATGCACATTTGCAGGGAGCCAGTGATTACTTGTTTACAGTGATACAATTTAGTGATAATAATAGTGTACCTTTTCATTTGTGCTTCAAAGGTTTAGTATTACCTGATGTCTGTACTTGTCAACATTGAAATGAACAGTAGCCAGTCTTAAACTTAAAAATATTTCTATTACGATTCTAAATTTCCTGTATTAGTTTCTAGGTTTTTTAAATATAGATTTGTCTTTTTTTCTCCTAAAGATGGAGACAACATAGTATCAGTTTTCTGCATTCTCTAAAGTGCTCATCATAGTCCTTGGTGACTCGTCATTACTTAGTAAATCATTTTGAAGATGACCAAAAATGTGATCATATGTCATTGATCTCATGAGTGATGGTGGACATATCTGGGCAATAATGAAATTAATATATAATCAGCCCCTTCTTTCAGTATACATTTTGATTGTTTTCAGTTCATGGGCTTTGATTGAAATGTAAAAGCTAGGTTATGTGGAAGACTCTATGCTTATTTTGTGGAAATTGCTAGCAATCATTCCATGATGCCCAAAGGATTTTTCCCAATAATATCCCACTGTAGGCCTTTATTAAATTCCAGAATATTAGAACTATATGGGACCGTAGAAATCATTTTCTCAGTGCCTGATTTTGCAGATGAGGAGACTGAGACCCACAAAGGTTGTGATTTCTGAAAGTCTCAAAGTTCATTGGTGCTTGGCAAGGGGTTCACCAACATCCTAGGTTGTTTGACAGGGGATGATCCATGTGGTGGGGCAAAGTCTGGGGCATAGATGAGTCATTCCAATGTGGGTAACCCATCAATAAGGAGCTGGTCGCCATTGGCTGGTATTAACCACCTTGTAGGACCACAAACAGAATACCTCAGTCCCAACTCAACTTTCCTCTAGCACTGGGTTCTTCCTGGGACAGAGGCTTGAGATTTCTTAAGCTAATATTTTCTCCCTCCCTTCTCCCTCCTTCTTTCTTTTTATATCACTTTCTCTGGAAAAACTGCACTGCAAGTATGCCTTTAAATCTTTCTGTATCCATGTTTAGACCAGCAGCTTTTGCACATAAATTTTGAGTATTGGCAGCCTTTGTTTCTAGTGCTGTGGAAAGTGAGTCTAGCTGTGAAGAGACCCTGGGGGTACTCCTGAAAGCATTTGGTGCATCCGAGAGCAAGCTGGGGTAGATGTGAAGCACATTAATTGATACTTCAGAGCCTTAACTAGAACTTATGGGCCTTGCTTCCCCAGATGCCCCATAACTCCTTTTGAAATTGGTTCCATTTATCTTCTGGCTTGCTCTCTTACTTAGAGAGACATCCCTCCCTCTCCCCCACTCTTTATTCTCTGGCCTGGCTCTGCCAGTGAGGAGGCAAAAGGCTGCTGGGAGCAATACCTGTGTGCCTTGTTGGCTACTCCTGTGCCAGAAGCAGCAACCTTTAGGCAGCCTGTTGGTCCCACTACCAGGATCACAGGAGGCAGGCATCAGGGCATGTATTAGTCCATGTTCACACTGCTGATAAAGACATACCTGACACTGGATAACTTATACAGGAAAAAGGGGTTTAGTGGACTTATAGTTCCATTTGGCTTGAGAGGCCTCACAATCATGGCAGAAGGCAAGAAGGAGCAAGTCATGATATATGGCAGCAGGCAAAGAGAGAGCTTGTGCAGGGAAACCCCCCTTATGGAACCAACAGATCTCATGAGACCTATTCACTGTCATGAGAACAGCACAAGGAAGACTTGCTCCCATGATTCAGTTACCTCCCACTAAGTCCCTCCCACAACATGTGGGAATTCACAATGAGATTTGGGTGGGGACACAGCCAAACCGTATTAACGTATGAGCCTGAGGGTTCCTTGTTCTTGGCAGTGCAGACAATGTGATTTTTTTTTTTAGAAAGGCTTTTTCTTTAAGTGCTACCTGTCAGGTGAGGGGGTTGAGAACCCAGGGCACCAGGACTCCTCTTTACCAGATGGAGCTGAGTTAACAAGAAAGGGTGAGGGAGAGGAAATTGCTACATGGATTCTGGTTGTTCACTTGAAGATGCAATGCAAACATGTGCACTTTAACTGGGCTGGGAAAGAGGACCAGCTCTGAGGGATGCAGAGCACCCTTAGAGGGTACATGAGGGAAAAGAGCCCTACTGTGTCACTGCCTTGGTAACACTTTGGGTGGAAGCACGTCACCTTAGTAGATATGGGAATCTAGGGTCTTTCTCCCAACAATATAGGAGGCCCTTAATGTTCATTGCCTTTGTCTTTAGGGAATTTTCAGAGCTTTGAGCAATCTGGACAGGAGGACAGTAGGACAGTGAGACTTTCTATTGATAGCATCACTAGAGACCTTATCCAAAACTAAAAACCTCAGAAACATTTGGCCTCTTCACTTACTGGCTGTGTAAACTTGGAAAGTTACTTCGTCCCTTTTGTGCCTCAGTTTCCTCATCTGAACATGGAGATCAAGTCTGCACCTGCTATATAAAATTATTCAACCATCCTAATGAGATAACATATGTTAAAAGTTTAGACCAGTGCTTGGTTTGTCGCAAGATCTTATTGAAAGTTTGTTATTATTTTTATCATTATTGCTGTGATGTGGTCAGGTGTGTGTGTGTGTGAGTGTGTGGTTATGATAGCCAACACCAAGGATTTCATTGTCACTCATGAAGAATAAAAACATTTTTTGTTGTTTGTTTTTGAGACAGAGTCTCACACTGTCACCCGGGCTGGTGTGCAGTGGTGCAATCTTGGCTCATTGCAACCTCCACCTCCCAGGTTCAAGTGATTCTCCTGCCTCAGCCTCCTGAGTAGCTAGGATTACAGACACCTGCCACCACGCCCAGCTGGTTTTTTTTTTTTTTTTTAGTGGAAACACGGTTCACTAAGTTGGCCAGGCTGGTCTCAAACTCCTGACCTCATGATTCGACCACTTCGGCCTCCCAAGGGAGAAGTGACCTCTTTGGGATCCTCCATCCTGTTGGGAAAAGGAGGTAGTGCTTATCAGATTTAAGGAAGTATTCTAAAAACTACGAACTCACATTGCAGTACAGTCCTAATCCCACACCATTATTAGACTGCTGGCTCAGAGTTCTTCTGGCTGAAGGTTCTCAAGCATCACGTGTCTATTGAGCACCCATAGGATATAGAGCTGGGGCCCTGGCATACCCATTCATCAATTCATTCATTCACTTAAACATTTGCTGGGCATCTGTTATGTTCCAGGCACTAGGAAAGGGCACTGGCAGAGACAACAATATTTGCCCCCAGAGAACTTAGGCTCTAGTTGGTAGGTAGCTAATAAACACATAAACCAGTCATTCTGTAATATGCTATCATATTACAGAATGTGATCAGCATATGAAATAAGGCAGGATGAAGGGCTAAGTATTATTGATAATGGATTGGTCTATGAAAGCCTTTCCAGAGGAGGTGATACTGAACAGACTTGAATGAGTGGAGTAAGAGTGTCAGAGGCAGAGGAAGTGGGAAGTAGCAAGGCTTTGATTTACAGCTGAGGGAAGAAGGCAAAGGAGATGAAGATTAGAGACATGGGCAGGGGATGGGAAATAGGCAGGGTAAGGATTTTAGATTTTATTCTGAGCATTATGGGAAGACATTGGAGTATTTGGGCTGGAGAGAATGGTGATGTGTGCTTCAGAGTGATCACCCTGACTGCTGTACAGATAGTAGGTTATAGAAGGTCCAAGGGTAGAGGCAGAAGCAGAAACCAGTTAGGATGTTATTACACTAACCTAGGAAACAACCCCAGGAAACTTGGCCTAGGATGGTAAGAGCAAAGATGTGACAAGTGAGGTTAGAGCTAAAAGAACTTAACTTCTGTAACATGTCAGGGAAAGAGAAGCATCCAGGATGACTATTAGGTTTTTGATCTGAGCAACCAGAGAAGTGGGGTTGTCCTTAACGGAGATGGGGAAGATTGGGAGAGGAGCAAACTTGGCAGGGAAGTCTACAGTCCTACCCTGAACTGCTTTGGTTCATCTGGACATATGTATTAGACAGCCGAGTGGGGGTGTCTAAATAGGCAGCTGGATAAGAGACTGAAGGGAACACCAGGCACTGGGGCCTGGTGGGGATAGGGGAGGGATGGCGTGAGGAGAAATACCTAATATAGATGATGGATTGATGGGTGCAGCAAACCACCAAGGCACGTGTATACCTATGGAACAAACCTGCGTGTTCTATACATGTACCACAGAACTTAAAGTATAATCGTAATATTAAAAAAAAAAGATTTAGGAGTTATCATATATAGGTTTAGGTAGGACCATTGAACTTGTCGTTTTTTTACAGGTGAAAAAGATTGATCATCAGATGTTTCTTATGATTCAACTTGATATTTAAATCCATGAAGGAGTGAGATGACAAAGCAGGTAAATTGACAGAGAAGAGGTCCCTGGTCTGCGCCCTGCGTTGCTGGAACTGTTAGAGATTAGGAAGAAGAGGAAGACCTGGCAAAAGGAAGAAAACCAGAAGCTGTGGTCACTGGAAATCAAAAGAGGAAAAGGCCTCCAGAGGGACAAAGTGTACAGTGTGTCAAAGGCTCCTGAGCAATCAGAGGACAGCACAAAAGGGGTCACAGGACACTGGCACCTGGATCACCCAGTGACATTTCCCAATCGTGAGAAACTGTCAGAACAACAGGGGCACTTTCTGCACCAGCAGTTCTTCAGTGCCCAAAGGCAACCTTGATGGTCTAATTTTGGAGGATGGCAATTCATTGACAACACTCCCCAAATGATATACATAAAAACGAATAAAACCCCCCGACCAAGGCAGCCTCTCCCAGCTCCTGGCTTTGAGTGAAGTGAGTAACCTCCGTTTCTGCCAACTCCTGTCTTGTCGGAAGCCACATTTCCCCAGCAATGTCACATATGCATTTCTTGATCCTGGTCATTTCTCCTCTTGGGAGATGAATCATAAAGAAAATGAGATCTGTGTGCCCTGGTGACTATGTATGTAAGAGTCTGCTGCCCTGGAGGGAACAGCTGGAAAACAAGTAGGTGGTGAAGCGGGGGAAAAAAAACAGTGGAAAGGAATCTTTGCAGGGAATCAAGGTGACAGTGATCGGTTATATCATTTGGATATGTGAGAGAAGGGGCTTATAGAAATGGAAATAGGAGGAGGGAAAGTAAGGACCAAAACATGAAGCCAGTCTTGAATATTTTTACATAAGAAGAAGCAGATTTACAGGGAATGTGTGATTTTTCAGATTTTCTGCCCCAGGTTAGCAGGGGTAGCACAAAGAGCCTTATTGTGGAGCTGGGCTTTGGGTAAAAGATAAATAGCCGTCCTTTCTCTCCAGTGTCTCCTTCCTTCTGGGCTTGCCCTGGGGGAAAAGGAGGGCTGGCATGGATGTACCTGTAGCCCTCACCCTGAACGTTCTTCCATGGCTCTCTGTCGTTCATTCATTGCTTATTCATTTCTCAGGCATGGATTGAGCATACTATGTGCCCGACGCTGACCTGGCATTGGATGGACACAGAGATGGAAAAGGCACAGGGAGCAGGTGACAGAGACAAATGAAGGTCATGGGGAACAGTTGAGCAGGACAGAAGATGAAGGCAGGGGACGGAGTTCTAGACAAAGTGAGAGCAGGACTGACTTGTGTGCCTCACCTGTTACTGCTGTAGCCTCTTTTCCTTGGAGTATCCCTTCTGCTCTTGCATCACCTTAGAAACTTAGATCAGAGAGGATAATTACCGCCTGGATATGTTGTAGTAGGAGGGGACAAATGCTTTTGGAGATAGAAATGCTTGGGGAGAGGGTGTTTTGGGAGGATGAGACTTTCCGGGTCTCTCAATTCATACTATGTAGGTAGATCACTGTACAACTTAAATAAGAGACAACTCTCCGAAGTGGTTGGCTGTGACCCAAAAATGTGTTTTGGGCCTCAGATTCCCAAAGGAAGGGCTGAAGTGTGACTCACCTGACATCAAGCACTGATATCCACCTGCCCCTGCCCTATCAGTTTCCACACCTGAAATGCTGGGGGCCCTCTCTCAGAACCTACTCCCCGAGATGTCAAAATATAGCCAAGGGTGTTTCTGGGCCTTCTCCAATCTGAAATTGTTTGGTTTGTGCGTGCGTGTGTGTGTGTGTGTGTGTGTGTGTGTGTGTGTGTGTGTGGCGGAGGTGGCCTGGTTGAAATGCAGATTTCTAGAGGCTCTCTGACAAAACTCAGGCCACCAGCCCCAGGCCAGCCTGTGGGTAGTCCTGGCCAATAGAGCCACTTCATACCTCATCTGGACTTTTTGCCAAATTCAAAGTGTGTGTATGTGTGGAGTGGGGGGTTCCCACCACTGACTGTAGGTCATTCACTTAGCTCAATTTGTCTTACTTTCTTCTGAAATTTCTTCTTTCATGCTTTTCCCCAGGAGAAACCTGGAGAAGCAGTCCCAGGGCAGCCGCTGGGTCAGCTTTCCCTAATAAGAAGGCAGAGCTCCTCTTTACCCAGACATCAGACCCATGGAGGCAGCCTGGGGTCCCGGGATGCCCTCCCACTCAGAGATGTCCCCAGCGTCCTAGGAAAATGGAGGATAACTAGGAGGAAGCTGTCCGTGGCTGGGGATGGGTCTACACATTCTAGTCCATCTCAGTGCTGTCTGCTATTGATTTTTTGTGCAGATCACATTAATTTAAAGCCAGTTCTCAAGAAGTGCCACCCCGCCCCCGACATATCCACCAGTTGGTCCCCTTTCCTGCCATTAATCAGTGTCTGCTAATTAGAGAACAAACTCCTGTTTGTTCAAACTGTTGCCAAGACCCCCACCCCAAGGCAGTTAAATGAGGATAAATGAGTCCATCTTGTTAAAAAGTGACTTAAATGTATCAAATTCTATTTATGTTTCTTTTACATCCCAATTTTCTATAGATTTAGTGATTCCACATGATAAGGTCTCAAGCTTATAATAATTTATCCCTTGAATAACACAAGCTTGGCGGTATTTTGGTAATATTCATGACAGCAGCAGTTGTGCTAATAAGGACTCATGTCAGCAGAGCACCACCACACTTCCCATGCATTATCTCATTTAATTTTCACAAAAGCTCGCAGAGGTAAATATTATTATCTTCCTCTGCATATAAGGAAATGAATGTTCAGAAAGATTAAATCAACTCGCTGAGATGTTACAGGTGCTCTTTCATAGGCCTCTGCAGCCGTCTCATTGAACTACTGAAATCAGAAAAACCTGGAGACCTTGCTAACCTTCAGATTCCTGGGCCGCATCCTGGATGCAGGGAGTCAGACTTCCTGGGAGTGTGGCCCCGGAATTTGCATTTTTAAACACATTCTCCAGGAGATTTGTAGGCACACTGAAGTTGGAGAATTCATGATCTCTGGCTTTTGTGATGTTTTAAATGCACTACATAAATCCAATAGCAAAAGAGTTGGGCTTTGGGAAGGGAGTGTGTGGTGAACCCTGAAAGCTGAAGGGACTTCCTTCCTGTGGAGGAGCAGTGGGAAAAATTGGAGGCAGAGAGCTGTGTTGCAGTCCTTGATTGAGCTTATGTGAGTTATTTAGTCTCTCAGTCTCTATTTTTTTCATCTGTAAACCAGGAAGGATACTTTTATTTTTCAGGTGGTTGTGAAGTGTGAAAGAGATGAGAGTAGAATAAAATTTTTAAAAGTTGAACTCAACACTCAACAAATGTATGTGATATTAATCCTGAGTTTCCCTGGGGCTAAGGAAGCCACCGCAGGCCTGTTGCACAATGCCAGGCACCTCGTATGGCTACAGGGGAGACAAAGGGAGAAGCAAACACTCCTAGGGCCTGGATATCTTGAATACCTGTCCACATTTCTTGAAAGGGGCCATTTCTTCTTTAACTCAAAGGAATTTATTATTTTCAAGCCAGGGAGGCATGCATTCTTTCTGCTGCTGGTACTCCCAGCCCAAGCTGTTTCTTGTGGGACTGAGGTGTGACTTTTGCCTCAGTTTCGTCCATCTGTGCAGGAAAGAGAGAAATGCCTGCCCCTCCATGGGTCACACCCTCTGTCAGAACCACCTCCGTAAGCCAGAACGATTGAATGCTCTCTATGTGCCAGAATTATTATTTCATTTGATTCTCACAACAATGCCATGAAGTCTATACAGACATACATTGGAGATACAGTGGGGTTTGTCCAGTCCACCGCAATAAAGCTAATACCGCAATAAAACAGGTCACACGAATTTTTTGGATTAGGTTTGGGTTTAAGGGAATGTTGTGGCTGGTTTGATCTTTTATCCAGACCGCTAACACTTTCTCCTTATCAGCAATAAGGCTGTTTTGCTTTCTTATCATTCCTGTGTTCACTGGAGTAGCACTTTTAATTTCCTTCAAGAACTTTTCCTTTGCGTTCATAACTTGGCTGTTTGGCACAAGAGGCCTGCCTAGCTTTTGGCCTATCTTAGCTTTTGACTTGCCTTCCTCACTAAGCTTAATCATCTCTAGCCTTGGGTTTAAAGTGGAAAATGTGTGACTCGTCCTTTCACTTGAACACGTGGAAGCCATTGTAGGATTATTAATTGGTCTAATTCAATATTATTGTCTCTCAGGGAATAGGGAGGCCCAAAGAGAGAGAGAAAGAGAAAGAGATGGGAAAACAGCAAGTCAGTGGAGCAGGCAGAACACACACATATATTTATTAAGTTTGCTGTCGTATGTTGGTATAGCTCATGGTGCCTCAAAACCATTACAATAATGAAATCAAAGGTCCCTGGTCACAGATCGCCATAACAGTTATAATAATAATGAAAAAGTTTGAGATGTTGTGAGAATTACCCAGACATTGTGAGAAAGAGACCCAGAGACAAGAAGTGAGCACATGCTGTTGGAAAAATGGCACCAACAGACGATGCAGGGTTACACAAACCTTCAATGTGAAAAACAAAACAAAACTATAATATCTGCAAAACGCAATAAAGAAAAGTGTAATAAAACGCCGTCTGCCTGCACCTCAATGATTCCCATTTTCTAGAAGAGGAAATAGATGCAGGGAGTTTGATCTGCCCAAACTAGTAAATGGTAGACCTCTGAGACTAACATTCCTATTCTCTATGCCGCACTCCTCGGGAAGAACGTTCAGACAGGGTTGGACTGAGAGTGTGTTAAGCTTTGCACTGTTCTGAGCCATCTGAAGGAGTGTCCATATTTGAAAGCACCTCCTTCCTTTCCCTGGCCCTCCACAATGTGGCCTAAGTTATTCAATTAGGAAGGGAAATAATTGGCAGTGGAGAATGCCTCTAGCAGTGGTAATTACCTCCAGTGCCTTGTAGGAATAGTCAAGCTACATTTCAGTTTATGCTGTAAAACCTTAATTATAATATAAACAGCTGCCCTTCAGCCCAGTGGGGCAGCCTTCCCCCGCCTTCCTTCTCTGGCCTTGGAATGGCCCTCCCTTCTGAGTGGTCGGGGAGGTCCAGGGATGGAAGGAGACCTGGGAGGAGGGGAACTGATGCCCGTGTGTG